GCGCCGCGGGCCTGGACCTCCACAAATGGCTGGTGGGCGAGTACCACGAGAAGAAGATCGCACACACTCCCCCCGTCATCGACCCCATCCTGGAAAAGTGCGTAGCTGAACTGCGCACCAAGTACAACATCAAGGTAAGCCTATCTTTCCGCTGCCAATGGCTGGCCGGACGAACGGTGGGACTGATTTCTTGACAGAAAATCGGTGCCATCGGATACTGCTTTGGCGCCAAGTATGTTGTTCGGTTCCTGAAGCCCGACCAAGGCAAGGTGGATGTCGGTTTCCTGGCGCACCCTAGTCTGGTCGAAAAGGAGGAATTGGAGGCCATCAAGGGTCCTCTGGCCATTGCGGCGGCCGAGAAGGACCACGTCTTCCCCGCCGAGAAGCGACACGAGTCGGAGCAAATCTTGGAAACGCTGGCGTTGCCCTATGCCCAGACTCTCTATGGCGGTGTCGGTCATGGGTGAGTGATTTTGGAAACCCAATGGACTGCGCATTGGACTAATCACGTCATAGATTCGCTTTGCGGGGAGACCTCAGCGACCCTAAGGTGCTGTTCGCCAAAGAGAATGCCTTCATCCAGGCCGTGCAGTGGTTTGATGAGCACTTGAAGGTGTGAGAGGGCAAGTGCGCGACACAGGGGAACCGGGGGGAGGGGGTGGGAGTAGTTAAATAGATGGGAGAAGTAGACTAGTAATGGCTGATGACCACGCTATAAATATGATGATGATGGCTACATAGGATGTGCATGAATAGATCCCCACTTGTCTGTCTCTTACTATTGCGGGATTCGTTCCCCGATAGGGTTACTTATGTAGCATGACCTTCACTGCTAGGATTTTGAACCACGTTTTAGAGTCAATTATCCCTTGTCCCGAGTATCATTCGATTATCATTCAAGTATTATTCGAGTAAGAAAAAAGGTGAGACTTACCATCAGGTAATAACCTACACGGTAGCATCATCGTATCCATTAAGCCGTGAGGGGGGGAAGAAAGAAGGATTGAAGTCGCAGGAGTAAATACCCTTCATACTAGGGATCATGAAGGTAAAAGTGCATCTTTCTCAAGAGGAGCCGAACTGAGTAGTAGTTAGCAAATGTGACTTGTGTGTGAGTATAGGAAAACCGTTGGACAGACAGACAGACTACTATGTAGTAGACAATAAGGTACTAGTAGTAGTAAGTAGAGTGGATAGAGAAATGATCCGCTGTGGGTACTTTTTTTTTTTTTTTTTTTCTCCTTCTTCTTTCTTTTCTTCTTCTTTTTTTGGCAGTGACAGGCAGGTTTCGGGACCAGCCGACAGGCAGTGAATGGGCAGGCCGATAAGCAGTCGGGCGCAATAAGATCCTCCCGCCCCCCGGGTGCCTCAGGACAAGAAAAAGGATTTGAGAGTGAGAGTGAGAGAATTACAGTACTAGTAGTAAGTAGTAATCAAGAATGCGCTCAATAATACGAAACCCACCACCACCACCACCACCACTGGCCACGGCTCCTTCCAATCTCCCCCCTCCAGTCACCACGTGATCCTTCAGGCTGTTGTTTGGTGGTGCGTCATTGGTGAGAACCTCAGCGATCGGGCGGCATTCTGACTGGAACCTGGAACTTTCACCTCAACTTGCTACTACTACTTACTCACTCACTCATCTTCCATCCACATTGTTACTCTTCCTTTCTCTTCCTCGACCCCCCCACAACTCAACTTGCTATGGTCGCATGTTGATCTCCATTTCCATTCCCAATCCATTACATCCTCTCCTCCCAATGACTGCATCGCAGTCAGGTCTTTTCTTATCCCCCTCTCATCATGTTCCGCCATTTTCAGATGCCCCCTCCCCCGAATGGGAATGCCTCCCATTCCGATGCCACCGGGAGACCCAAGGATCGTACTCGCCGGGCATGCGAGCGCTGTCGCCAGATGAAAATCAAGTGTGACGGCGTCTCTACCTGCAATCACTGTCGCACCTCCTTCAATGGTGCGAGGCCCTTTTTTTATGTGTCGCGATAAGACCACAGACGGTAGGCTGGGGACAAGCTAACGGGTACAGAATGTGTGTATCCGGAGCCACGTCGCAAGCGCAAAGCTTCCCCACATTTCGATCGTCTGCAGGAGTTGGAGAAGAGGGTCAAGGCAATGGAGGAATCCTATCAGACCATTTCCGCCACCAAAGATTCATCTCAGTCCCCCAGCTCGGCGTCGCAAGTCCATCCCCCGTCAACAGCTGGCGCCAATGATGTCGGACACGACCCGACAGATTCCCAGCCGCAGGCCCAGTCAAGCCAAGGAGAAGCTCGCTTCGGTTTCTCATCCGCCGACCGTGCTTTTATTGAGCGCCTCAAGGCGGAGCTGGGAGACTGGCCCGGCGCGGACTTCGACAGCCGGCTACGTATACGAGAGAAACCCGGGGTGAAATTGTTCCAGTCAGCCAACCCGGCACCACGGGTCGTCTGCTTACCACCCCGTGAGCGAGCGGAGCACCTAATCAACATAGCGCTGGATGCAAGCGTCCTCTATCATGTCGTGCACCGACCCACGTTTGACTCGGCGTTCGAACTCCTCTACAGCCTGGATCGGAGCGACTATGGGGAAGGGGAAATGCGCCATATCCCGCTCGTTTACGCTCTCATGGCGTTGGGCTGCCTTTTTGAGAAGATCGGCGAGGGCCCATCTGAAAGCGGCGACGACACGACCGCGGAGAGGTATGTCTTCAACCTGGTGTGTCGTTTAAACTACATTCATGCTAACGCAGGCAGAACGAAATATTTCTCGACATGCCGTGATCTTGTTGATCTGCACGACTGCAATGATATCGTTACCTTACAAGCAATCTTCTATATGAACCTATTCATCTTGAGCACGGAGAGGCTATCACCGTGCTATACATGCCTGTCACACGCATTCTCTCTCGCTGTTCGCATGAATCTCCAGCTGCCGAACACGAGGGACAATCTAATCGTCGCCGAGATTAAAAGGAGACTTTTTTGGTCTCTGCGACAATTACTGATGGTCGTAGCCTCGATGTGTGGCTATCCGCGGCCGATCAACAGCAACGAAGTCGACATCGAACAGCCGCTAGATCTGGACGATAACGACCTCAAGTCGACCAGGATATCTCAAGCCTTACAAGACCCGGCACTGATTCGGAGTATGTCTGGTTCTGTCGCGCTGTTGAAGCTCCACAATATTCTGGATCGAATCGTTCGCGAGCTTTATCCGTCGGGAGGCGTTCGGCGCAAAACCAACAGCGGATCCATGAGCCACCGGGTGAGCAACGACATTGTCACGCAGCTCGAAGCGGAGCTGCAGAAGTGGTCCACATCGCTCCCACTGGGGTATAAACGGGGAACAAGTCGATACGCACCCCACTTAGAGAAGTAAGGTCACCATGAGTACGGTCCCACTAAGTTCCACCCAGCTAACAGGTCGCAGGGCGAAATACGAGCTATGGATGACATATGCACACGTCCAAATTCTTCTATATCGACCGTTCCTGCACTACTTCGTCGACAGCACCGAGGGGAACGGCCATGCCGAACACGGATTTCACAAGTACGCCTCGGCGTGTGTTGACGCCAGCCGCAATCTTATCCATTTGACCGAGGATATGCACCGGGACGGTCTCCTATATGGAGCACACTGGAGGATTGCGTACATGGTCTGCACAGCAGGTTTATCATTGATATATGTGGTGGTGGGCTCTAAGAACCCGGACACAGCAAGAAATCTCAAAATGGATTTGAACACAGCAAAGAGAATGCTGATGTGCCTCACCCCTTACAGTTCTCATTCCCGTCGCCTGCATGTGGCATTAACGGTACGACCAGCGATGGTTCCATGTTGACGATTCTAGGCTAACGTAAGCGACTAGGTACTGACAGCTACGTTCACTAAATCGGATCACGGCTCGCAGTCGCAAAGTCCGAATGACACCGCAGAGGCAGTTGCGGATAAAGCCAGCGAGCCGTATACGGGACCGACGACAAGACAGGGTCTTGCTGCATCACCTCAGGGGAATCAGAGATATAACGGTCCTGGAGCGGGTGAAGTGGTTGCCCCCAGTTCAGGGTCATTCACGCGCGGCGTGGAAACGCATCCTTCCCAGTCTAATCCGGTCGAAGCATACGGCATGATTCCTGTATCACAGCCTCCGTTATCTCATTTAGATTCCACCCCGGTACCGTCAGGGTATGTGGTTCCCCCGCTCCAACCAGGTGCGCCATGTACAACTATGCCAACTCCGGCGCCCGAAAACACCACTCCCCAGACAGCTGAGCGAGTTATGGAGGCGCTGGCCGGGGCTGCTGCCACTTATGGACCGGAGCCAGGGCTCGGAGATCAGACGTACTACCTGGAAGCGCGACCCTTTAATTTGCAACGACCTACGGAAGGCGAGGATTACCTGTTCGGGAGAGAGTTTGGGGAATTTGACGGGATGACGGGGGATTTACTCAGCTTCGACTATCTGTTCTAGACCGACTTGTAATGTGATTGTGGTTTGGGGGTACTAGTGTCCAATGCCGGGCGCCTCAAGATCCGACCGATAATAGCTGAGCGTGGTGCCGCGTGCGCGTGGCAACTGATCATGAACCCTCATGTCTTTTTTGTTTTCCTCCTTTTATTTTTCCCTCCCTTAGTTGTTTGTCTATCTTCTATTTTCCTTCTCGTCCAATCCGAGACCTTGACCACCCAACATCCGAGTGGCCGCTGGGTGAGATTCCGAACCACGGGCGGCAGCGCAATGGGTCGGTCTAACCCAAATATCGGGCCTCGCAGGCCGAGTGCCGACCAACCGGCGCTGCAAGTCCAGACGCGCTGATCTCAACCACTGCACAAGGCCGGATCCAACGTGGCGGTCAATTGCGTGCCGGAAAGATATGCTTAGTGCATTGCACGACTCCTTTTGGGATGTATCTGTCAGATTTTGAAGTCTGCGCGGCCCGAGCCTCCCTGAAGGAAGTATCGCGGCCCCCTTATATATCTCTCATAGAATGGTGCCCAGGCGCAACTAACCCACGAACAAGCGCTGAGCACCATCCAAACTATGCGATCGTTTGCTCGATCATTAGTGCAACTTTTACCACTATAAACTTCGACTTCGATTTTCCGAGAATACAAACAACCAATCACTAGCAAGGATTCGTCCAGCGCCATGGCCGGCGGTAAGGTAGGCATTGAATTCCGCTGTCATCAAGAATTATGTTCATTAGTGAGCCGTTGACTAACGTCAAGTTACTAGCGACCCGACGTGCACCCTGTGATAGACCTGGAGAAGGACATGGTAGGATGGGAAGGCGAGGATGACCCAACGAATCCGAGGTGAGAGATAACCGGTCACATCTGCCACCATGTAAGATCTAGCATCTGACACGAGATAGGAATTTTCCTGTGTCTCAGAAGTGGTTCTTGATGATACTGGTCAGTACCATCACGTTCATCAGGTATGCATAGACTTCTTCAAAATAAACCAGTTGCTGTCTCTTACTCACGACCTCTTCAGTCCATTCGCGTCTTCTGTCTTCTCTCCAGGTGTGGTGTACGCGGAGGAGGAATTTGATGTCACATCGACTATTTTGGGAACTCTCTCGGTCACAGGTTATCTCATCGGTTATGTGGTATGTGTGGTCTCCATTTGTCAAGAGCATGACTTGTGCTTACCAAAATTGCCATATAGACTGGTCCTCTCTTTTTCTCTCCGCTAAGTGAGATGTACGGCCGACGGATTGTCCTCAGTGCGGCCAACACGTTCTTTGTCGCCTTCCAGATTGGCTGCGCGCTAGCGCCCAATATCTCTGCACTAATTGTTTTCCGTTTCCTGACGGGCGTTGGTGGATCGGCTTGTTTGACCACAGGTGGTGGTGTGGTGGCCGACTTATTTGTGGCCGAACAGCGTGGAATTGCAATGGCAGTTTATACTACGGGTATCTTGATCGGACCTGTTCTGGGACCGCTTCTTGGAGGTTTCATCGCTCAGCGAGCGGGTTGGCACTGGGTATGTTATTTTCACCTGTGTGTCCATCCACATAACTGATATTGATATCCTGATAGGTGTTCTGGGTGCTGGTCATTGCGGGCGGCACGCTCTCTGCTCTGGTCATGATTTTCAACCGTGAGACCAACCACGTCGTAATAATACGCCGCAAGACTGAGCGCCTCCGCAAGGAGCTCAATCGTCCTGAACTATACAGCTGTTACGAACCCAATGGAGCGGACGCCAAAGGTTCTTATACAGGCACCCTTGGCAAGCGGCTGATCATGCCATTTTACCTCTTGGTCCGTTCGCCGATCGTCTTCCCAGTTGCCACATATCTGGCCACACTCTACGGATGTCTCTACTTGCTCTTTACCACAGTGACCGATGTCTTCAAGAAGTCCTACGGCTGGAGCACGGAGATCAGTGGCCTCGCGTATCTCGGTCTCGGTGTCGGCTTTATCAGTGGCCAGATAGTCTTTGCCTTGGTCAGTGACCGTATCATCACACGGCTGAAGTTGCGCAACAACAACGTCTTTGAGCCGGAAATGCGTTTGTCCATCACCATCGTCTTTGCCTTCTTCATCCCCGTCTCGTTCTTTTGGTACGGATGGTCTGCGCAGGAGCATACGCACTGGATTGTGCCGATCATTGGCCTGGCGCCTTTTGCGTTCGGCATGGTGGGTATTTACAATACATTGCAGACCTACGTGATCGACTGCTATCCTCGGTATGCTGCCTCTGGTACCGCCGCAATGGTGGTCACGCGGTCGCTGATGGGTGCTCTGCTGCCGCTGGCGGGACCGCGCATGTACTCGACCCTGGGCTACGGATGGGGCAATTCCCTGCTGGGATTCGTTACACTTGGCATGATACCAGTGCCAATGCTGTTCTACAAGTATGGTGGAAGCGTCAGAAAGTCATCTCAGTTGGAATTGTGATGGGTTGTGCGGTTGTCACACTGTTTACGATGGATAGAGTGAGGGTGAGGCTTGGGAGATCCATGCATCGAAGGTATTGGGTATAAATTTCTTGTTCTGTTTCGTTCGTATATCATTACATGCACATAGGCCTGAGCTCTCTGGGAGTCTCAGGTGGCGTTTTGGCGATGGGAGGATGATGAGCCAGTATAAGGCTGGTTCAGGATTGCATACTGGGAAATGATTAGATATGTTAATATGTGACGTCAATTAGTATGATAGACAATAAGGGAAAAGTTAGACAGAACAAGAGGAAGACGACTACCTGAATTTAAGAAGATAAGCGACGATCACTGCCGATCCTCGGCCATTTTACTGCTTATTTTGCGAGAGACAAGAACATCTCCCCCACCTTGGCGAAGTGGTCAGCTCGAGCTTCGCTACACCCCTCTATCAAGTCCCCCTTTCTCCTAGCTGCTAGATAATCCCAGAGCTCACCCTCACTGCCAATACTCAGGTTCAAAATCCCTTTGAATTCGACCACCAACCATGGCAGAATATCTCACCATGCCCATCCTCAATGAACTTATCCGACGAGTCGAGGAGGACCCAGGAAACGAGGACGCTGTGAAGGCAATGACATCCGGAATTCTTTCTTTCTACTTTTCTATCGATGAAGGATTCATAGTCGCACCCATATCAACGGGCGGCAAGTGCTCTACAGGCTTTGGATACATTATCCGCCACATTCAGCCCAGTCTCTCAGAGAATCGTAAGATTGCCGATCACGTCGTGGTTAGATCGGAAGTAGATGATAATCTTCAAAGTTGTATCGATCGACTTCGGCATTCCATTGAGAGCCGAGCTCCAGTGGTGGAAAGTTGTTGGGCAGTATTGGTTCAGGGTCAGTCGGTCTACTTTTATGAGTATCATGGACAGCTGCCTGAACATGAGCGTCTTGTGCCCTGGGAACTATCTGGTCAATCGCAGGAGCAGCATGCCTTTCATGTACGCAGAGATAGTGTTCAGATTGAACAGATGTTGAGGCATATGGCACTACATGATATGCCTGCGCGGGAGACAGTGGAGCATGGATAAATACGGTCTGACAGCCCCGAAGGGCATGATTATAAGTAGTGGAACAGATATAAGGGCGTGAGACGCATCTAAAGCGCTAGAAATTTGAATTGCCTTCCTCAAGTCATATATTCTCTATTTGCACCATCTCAACTACGTTTTGATTACCCGGATAGCAAGGCACTCTCAGGGTTCATCATCAAACTCATTATGGTCAGTGCCATGGTTTCCAATGTCATCTTCGTCATGGTCATCATACTCATAACCACTATCGCCGTAGCTATCATCGTCGTAGCTATAATAATCGTAGCCATCAGCATTATAGCCATCAGCATCAGTGCCATCATCGTCCAAGTCACGATCGTCAAAACCATAAGCTAAACCTGAAAAAGCACCGTTAAAACGGACTGTATAGTCGATGCTCGCAAGACAGTGTTTGGACTCATGCATTTTACTAGAAACACGTTGGTTCTGCTGTAGCCAAAACCTCTTGAGGGTACCTTCGTGTCGAACCTTGCATGCTCCTTTACGCCGAAACTTGTACATGGCTTCCCGGCCCATGAGAAATTCTGGCTCACCACTTCGACAGCGCGAGCAAATGTAGTGGGGACAACTATCACTCGGAAGATTAGCTTGGTCAAGGCAGTCACTGTGTTGCCAGGAGTAGTAAACTGAGCACATCACCCCGGACTCTTCGAGTCCGCTGCGCTTGCCGCAACATGGTATTAGCAACCGGGAGCTCTGTACGACAAGGTCTTTGAATTGGTGTATACTTGCGTAATACCATCTTTCGGCAATGAAAGACGCTTTTGCAAATGCTACCGCATCGCGTGGTTCCAGATGCTGCAGGATGAGCTGAATAATTTCCGCAGGCAGGCGAGGCTTCCATGTCTCCCGGCGTGTCTTGCTTTCTCGCCAGCAGTTTGTTGTGAGGATCTGGCAGAGAGCACGGAAACCCGCAGGCCACCGGCCGCTGGACATATCCGAAATCAGCATACTGGGGCTGCTTGCACGGACAGTGTCGTCTGAAATCTCTGCAAAGACAACTTGGCATGTCGAAATGATTATCAAGCGGGTGTGATGATTCTGGGATGCGGTTTTCTCAAGGTACTGCTCAGCCTTTTGAACGGCTGAGCGGACCATGGATTGATCCTCCAGGTTGTTGTGTAGAACAACAAGGAATCCATGGAACCAGTAGATGTCACCTTTGGGGCAGCTCCAGGGTACATCAGGATAATCTGTCACTGGGAGGTCAACGTCGGTGTCAAATGAAACCTCGAAATCCCAAGCTGCAAGACGTAAGATAGCGATACAAAAGTAATTCAACGCCGGTGAATCGTAACGCATAGTTATCGGATCGCAAACGTGCCAGCGCCAGGCCCACATAAGGTCGATGAACAATCGGGCTTGCAGTTCGTTCAGGAAAGTCGGGATATCCAAGCGGAGATGCAGTGGTTCCAGCGGCGGCTGCGCCAATCCATTATTCAGAATTTCCTCAGGGGCATGCGTAGGTAGTTCCTTCAGATCCTCACGGAGTCCCGCTGCAGACAAGCTAGAGGCCTCACGTACCGTGTGCAGATCATACCAGGCAGTCACTATCTGGGGTTCATACTCTGGGACATCGATGTAGGACACTACCAGTGTGCCAGCGTCCAAATTCACAGTGTAGACTATGCTGGCCAGCGCACCTACCGGAGCAGGAAATTGAGCTTCCTCCCATTCATCTAGCTTGTCCGGCTTCTCACACAGCTGCTTAATCTTTTTCAGCGCCTCGGGGCGATCGGAACCAAGTTCAGGATCAGGACCGTACGCTTCATAGCAACGAAACCACCGACCTAATTGACCCAGATGTTAGCTTTGCAATTTACTTTCTTCTCTCCCACTTAAACATAGTATTCCTGATTGCCAGTTATGCTATACTGACCTCTACTATGTAGATTCCAGAGATATCTCATCTTGCTGCTGAGCAGATCCAACAGACGGCCGAATATAGATTGGGACGAGCGGTATGAGTAGGCCAGGTAACCTTACAAAATCTTTCGTATGGGGAGGCAGAGACAATCAAAATTCTGGGTGGTGAGACTGTAAGTGATGGGCCTGAACTTTGAGAGACTTTGGAAAAGAATGTAGGAAAATCGAAGCAATGTAATGGGCCAGGGAATGGTGACTACACCTATATACTCCGGAGAAGCAGGGATATTTTTCTAAGCAGCTACCGATAATCAGGGAGGAAGCCTGGTGATCGGTTGTAAATTGGCTGAGATATCGGGCCCCTACTACCAATTTATTGGGCTTCTACTCATCTTGTAAGCCCTTGGAAGGAAATCGCCGCTGGGATGGTTTGTTGTCCTCGGGATTCTAGTTTATGACTCGTGGACAAAGGGGGATGCCGTCGAACAATTTTCATTCAGGGAATTTCAAAACATAAGTTGAGGACATATTCGTAAGTAGTCTTTGTCTCACCGGGTTTCTACCGGCGGTGTACTTATGTCTCCCTACAAGTGGGGATTACACAAGTAGTGATATTCATGTATACGAACGTTCTCCTCTTTTACTGACTTCCTTGAACCTCCATACTTGCAGCGGGAACTCCACCTGGGAAGCGCACCATCACAGTGATGCGAATGGGTAGAAATTCCTCTTCACAGCGTTTCCATTCCCGCATCTCACTCCTCGTCAGACTTGCGGGTATTACCGGGCTCAATTCATGCACCTTGGCTACCTGAAAGTTGTACTTCTCGTAGAGAGGAACACCGGGATCAGTGGCATCCAGTCTGGTCTCCAGCCCCAATCGGTCCGCCTCTGCCAGTCCCCATTCCATCCACTTACTACCAAGACCTTGCTTTTGATACTCCGGTCTTGTGAAGCCAATATGAAGGTCTGTGACGAAACAAGAGTCATTCATGGAATATAACGGCTCAGAATCTCAATAATGAATGGAAGAGTAGTTATTCGTTTGACCAAAAACGAAACAACTTAGAAGAGAATAGACTTACACGCATGTGGCCCTTGGCCCATATCATGCCGTGGCTGCTCATATTGCTGCACAGCCTGAGTCACAAAGTTCCTGATCACCCCTTTGGGATACCAATCAACCTCGACCGGCGGGCGTTTGGCGAAAGAGCTGGCATTGTCGAAGAAATACCATTTGGCAGCGGCCGCAATCCGTTTCTTCTCTACATCCATGACCTTGATCCACTTGACGGTCGGCCGCTCCCTGATGAAAGACGTGCGCTGGTCCTCGATACTTCTCTGTAGGCTCTTTTCCCAATCGCCATCTTCAATGGGGAAGAAGAGACGAAAAATGCCCTGCGGAGGATTGTCAAACGTTTCCCACTGTGCGGTTATGAGCTCGGGAAAGTCATCTTCTATGGCAAGCTGGAGTGAGAATTTCATTGTGTGGAGTCGTGAGATCCGGGGCTGGGAATAATGAGCAAAATTGAATAGGGTACGGCGGTTAATAGCGGCCATCGGGCAATTACGTTTCTTAACACCAAGTCCCTTAACCGCCAGTAAAATTGATTGAAAAGTATGATTTATTTACGACCTTGAATAAGAAAACTACAATAAATAATGTACAGCAAATACTCCATATAGGGTGATGGTCAAGGATTGAGCCACCCGAGTGTCGAGGAACTACGGTTATAACCGGTTTTTAAGGTTATGGACCACTGTACCATCCAAGAATTCTCTCCCCTGGACCAGGAGTTAGAAAACAGGTATTCATTTGGTCTGGACTTATGCAGTGAGCTAAATACAGCACGGTTGAGGTCATCGTAATATGCATTAACTTAGCAAAGCTCTAGCAATCAAGACTGCGCCCTCCCATGTGGCGATTCGGCCAGGGGCAGCGGGGTCCAGCTGCTGATTTGGATAGATTAAATCACAATTGACAACCGCGATATAATGCTACTCTTGTTTCTGCAGGATGTTCTGTCTAAGGGGCATCATCCATGTGCCGAGGCAATGAATACAGAATCAGCTGTGTCTCTCATCGGCTTAAAATTTGGCTTGTAAAAGCATGACAATGATAGTTGCTGCAAAAATATTGTGATAGATATAATAATGTCTGATCATAAAGCTCATAGTACTCATTACAAACAAAAGAATTGCAATCATTGAACACCAAGTATCCAAGTCAATCTGTACAGTCTGGATCTTTTCATACGCTCCATTTCTCCCTCTGTAACAACATTCACTCCTTCTCAGCAGGACCAAACGTAGTGGCAGCCACCGCCATGGCAAGCTCGCCCGAGTGGCTAATACTGACCTGAACCTTGGCCAGCTGCTTCTCTTCAGCTAGCTTCTTAATTTCACCATGTAGCTGCAGTCTCATTAGTCTGTGATCACTACATATTCAGGAACAGAGCAACTCACATGAACAGTTGGAATCCCACCATCACTGAGAATCTCAATATCGTTGAGCGGAGCCCCTGCTCCCTTGGACGGGACCTGCAAACTCTTAAATACGGCCTCCTTGGCTGCCCAACGGCCTGCAAACGAGTGTGCCGGATCTGGCGCAGCATGGCAATACTCTCTCTCAGCCTCAGTGTAGTTCCGCTCCAGGAATACGTCGTTCTCGACATTAATAGCAGTCACTGACTCAATGTCCACACCTACCGAGGTCGTTCCATCTGTCGACACAGCCCCTTCTACCCATTTCTGGCACGCGTTCATCAGCGGCTCGCTGGTGGGCGTTGAGGGTGTCTCCACGGCAGTCAAGACTCCGGAGCTCGTCTCAGAAAGTGAGTCCTCTGAATCAGGATGCAGACATTTGGCATCGAAATAGTAGCTGCCGTCGTCAACGGCAACCCGCGCAAATGGATCCAGGAATACTCGCATCTCGTCCTCGGCGGCCCAGGCGGACGAGGTCTTGGCCTGGAACAGACTGTTTGTGTTGAGCCCCTCGATGAAGGCGCGATTCGCCATTTCGCAGCGTCGGAGCGCCTTGATGCGATATGCCTCATAGGGTGTCTGATCCACCGCGGCAAAGAGATAGCGCGGAGACACACCCACCACCA